ACAATTCGACTCACTGGGCATGGCGTGCATAGGGACCTGGTGACTCAGCATGTACAGGACCTGTGGATGGCGCTTCAGCTGCCCCAACCAGTGCAATGTGTGGCCACAATAGCAATGCGGCGTGCATGGTGGTGCAGTGCTCTGGCGCCTTGGCTGCACTGATGATGCATAATGGGAGACAGTAAATCTGCCCCTCCAGTCCTTCCTCTTATTTTAATTTGATGAAAAGGTGTGGGCAATATGACTGTAAAGAGCAAGCGTGCTCATTACGAGTCAACTTGTCTCAATTAAGGATTTGTCCCCACGGTTGAGTTGTCTGTCCACTTGAGGCACAGGAGGTAGACTTGTTCCACCATTTTAGGTGTATCAGTGGTTGAGTTTTCCTAAGTCAAATTAGCAAACAGCCGAGCTGTCTGAGCCCCAGCTTGTCCTTGCTCAGTGCCCATTCTCTGTTTTCCATGCCGCCTCTGCTCTTCCTCTTTTCTAAAGTGTAGGCCTATATTTTGCTATCACATGGATCACACATTTAGCCATGTTATTGTAAGCCATTGGTTTTTGTTCAAACAGTTGGCACAAACCAATACCGTATGTTCTCCTGAGGGAAGTGAAAACATGGAACCAGACAAAAATTGTTAGCACTAAAGTTTCTGTATACTCTTTTTAGAAACATCAAGGGAATTCCACAGTTTAGGTCCCTGATGCCTACATGTACATGTATCTGTATTTTGAATAGCAGTGGTACAAGCAAAAGATTGATGAAATTTAGTACACTGTCTAGTGAAGTGATCATGCACTTCATCGTTTCTTATAAACATAGCATGGATAGATTCACATAACATATTATTATATAATTGATGCATGAAGGTCCCGAAGTGAAGAGAATAGATATTATCCAATTTAAGTGCTTTGCAATTATAAAAAAGAGGACTACTGTGTTCAAGGGAGGTGGTACAGTTGATTATTCCTGTGACCTTTTTCTGCAATCGTTTGACCAACTCCAGAATTGCCCCAGGCTAGTATTTCATATGTTAAGTAAGATAATATTAGGGTATTATAAAGTACATGTATGTCCAATATGCCTTAATTAAAGGAAGAATGTTTTCAGTTTACGTATAACACCAATGTTTCTCGAAATAATTGCACAGATATTCTTAAATGAGCTTTTTCCATGAGAGTCTCTCATCTACATAAGCATAACAAATTTACATAGCTTTTAGAATTTGTACATTATCAATAAAAATATGAAGCAACTTACAATATTGTTTATTGGTAAATAGCATAGGGTAAAACTTATCTTTTGAATATTGAGGGTTAGTCTGTTGGCTTTGATCCAGTTGGAGATTTTTTGAAGCTCAAAATTAACTTTTTTTTATAAAGTATATCAATATCCGGATGACTACAAAATAAGTTACTGTCATCAACAAATAGAATAAAAGAAAACAGATCAAAAGATTTGTCAAAATCATTAATATAAATTGAAAATAAAATTGTTCCCAGGATGGATCCCTGTGGAACTCCACAAGGGATTGTAATGGATTGAGACTGAATACCACTGATAGATACAAACTGCTGATGATTTGATAAATTGCTCCTGAACCACTCCAAGGCTGTTCATGTGATATCATAATAGTCAAGTGTAGATAAGAGAATATCGTGATTAACTGTATCAAACGCCTTGGAGAGATCCAGGAATAAACCAATAGTAGCACATCATACATCCAAATTATTTGTGATCTTATCAATTGATTTAGTAATAGCATGTGAAGTTGAGTGATGTTCCCGGAATCCAAACTGGGCATCAGTAATTATGTTATTATTGATCATCTAAAAAATTAATAATACGTTTATACCTGTATACTATACATTTCAGTATTCAAAGAACTTAAAAGGGAGATGGGTCTGTAATTTTTCACTAGACCTGGGTTACCACTCTTAAAGATAATGTATGAGTGATCCTGGCAGTCTTCATGTCTTCTGATACAACACCTGTGGAGATAGACACGATGAATGGTTTTACATAAACTAACAGTAGCCCAAGGGGATTTCGGGGTAAATTTACATGACCTAGACTTATTGTATTTTAGAGGAATATACTTCTCAAGGTTGGTATTAAAAATATCCATAAATTTGATAAAAGCTGTATTTGCATCAGAAGAATTAAAAAGTGGAGACCAGTCGTAAGCAACAAGTGCTGGTTTAAGATTAGTAAGATTTTCTTGAGAATAATCGTGTGGGAGTTGAGTGGGAATTTGAGCAACTTGTAGTAAGAGGGAAGGATGTAAATATTGGAAAGTGATCCGATATATCTGTAAAGATACCAGATTAAGGCGAGGGTAATATGTTAGAGAAATCAATCAAGTTGCAGAGGTGTTGGTGACCCTGATTGGTTTACTTATAAGTGGGATACAAGAAGCACTGAGAGTAGATTAAATCAAGAAATTCCTGTGACTGGCTGTAACAAGTCAGTGATATTGTGACGAAACAGGGGTAGG